AAAAAAGACCATTGGGTACCTGCATTAGTTACCTAGGCTGCCATAATAAAGTACCACACACTGGGTGGCATAAATAACAAAAATTTATTGTCTCACAATTTTTGAGACTGGAAGTCCAAGATCAAGGTGTTGTCAGGGATGGTTCCTTCTGAGAGTTATGAGGGAGAATCTCATCTATGTCTCTCCTAGCTTCTGTTGGTTTGGTGGCAATATTTGGCACTCCTTGGCTTGTAGATTCATCACCTCCATCTCTACCTTCATACATGGGGTCTCCCTGAGTGAATGATATTGTGATATACATATCTGGTCTTCGTCCATATATCCCGACATAGAGTTCCTAAAACCCTTGTGATTTCCTGAGTGTAGGGATATCGGAGAATCTTTTGTTCTGATATTTTGTCCTTAACTCCAGTTCCTGACACTGCGCTCCTAAGACTTTTGTAATTTCCATAGTGATAGGAGCATCTGACACAGCTCTTAATCCCGAAGAATTTCCTGGATGATGGGACCATCTTTTGTTTTAATGCGGTGACTCTTGATAGGCTCCCGCATAGCCTCAGGGGCTGGTTGCTAAGGGGAGCAACCACGTGATTAGAGGGTTGGGACTTGCAGCCCCACCCTCCAACCTCTGGCGAGGGAATAAGGGCCGAAGGACTGTGAAGGTGACTGTGTGAAGCACTCACAGAGGTGATAACTGAGGTCTTATACACAAAGAGAATGCTTGAATACTCAAAGATCTCTTAGCTATAAACTCAGAAGTGACTTTATTTCTGGATAACTCTCATGAGAGATGACAGCAAAGATGCTCTGGACAAGTGAATCAGTGTAGTTATGCCAATGAGGCTGAGGTGCGCCGGAAGGAGATTATAGCTATTTCTCTACTACCAAGATGTATAATTGGGATACACATGTTAGGAGAATGGCTGAAATCTGAATTGTGATAACGAGCCATGCTAAGTGGGAGCTGCTTGTGATCCTTCCATCTCAAAAGATTGCTGACCAGCCACTGTGTCCCTGAGGAAAATCAGGAAATAGGGAGAATGAGGCCCTACTAGGGCAAGCATTTTCTGGTTCACCATATCCTCTTTATCCCTTCTGTGAGGGGAGCAGGTGGAATCTGGAGACTATTGACTGATTCCCATTGAGGCCTCAGGTGTGGTCAGTAGGCTTGGAAAAAAGCACCTTGCCATTCATTGATGAAGCCAGTAGCTTATTTCCAGTTTCCCTCCATTCAGACCACCAGAATCAGTTAGCTTTTCCATGGGACAGAGAGCCGCAATGTAATGTAGTGGAAAGAATGTGGGCTTAAAATACATCTGAGTCCAAATTGCACTCTGCCAATAACCAGCTATGTGACCTTGGGCAAAGTCATTTAACTTCTCTGAGT